AGCACTTTGGGAGGCCATGGCATGCGGATCACCTGAGGGCAGGAGTTTGAGACCAGCCTGGCCAACACGGTGAAACCCCATCTCTACTAAAAATACAAAAATTAGTCAGGCACGGAGTCGGGTACCCGTAATCCCAGCTACTTGGGAGGCTGAGGCACAAGAATTGCTTGAAAACGTGAGGTGGAGCTTGGAGTGAGCGGAGATCGCACCACTGCACTCCAGTACGTGTGATAGAATGAGACCCTGTATCCCCCCACCAAAAAATTAGGGAGAATAAATGTTATCCTGGAAGACCCCTGGGCACTCTGGAGGGTTCACAGAAACCACTGACCACCCCTAAATCTAAATCCGACACCATCAGAGATGCCCTGACATGGCACCTCTGTCAAAAGTTCCCACTTCTGACCAGGCATAGTGGCTCACGCCTATAATCCCAGCACTTTGGGAGGCCGAGGTAGGTGGATCACAAGGTCAGGAGTTCGAGACCAGCCTGGCCAACATGGTAAAACCCCGTGACTACTAAAAATACAAAAATTAGCTGGGCGTGGTGGCATGTGCCTGTAATCCCAGCTACTTGGGAGGCTGAGGCAGGAGAACTGCCTGAACCTGGGAGGCAGAGGATGCAGTAAGCTGAGATCACGCCATTGCACCCCAGCCTGGGTGACAGAGAAAAACTCCAGCTTAAAAAAAAAAAAACATAGGGTGCGGGGGCTCATGCCTGTAATCCAGCACTTTGGGAGGCTGAGGCGGGCAGATCACAAGGTCAGGAGTTCCAAACCAGCCTGGCCAATACGGTGAAACTCCGACTCTACTAAAAAATACAAAAATTAGCGGGGTTTGATGGCGGGTGCCTATAGTCCCAGCTGCTTGGGAGGCTGAGGCAGGGGAATCCCTGGAACCCAGGAGGTGGAGGTTGCAGTGAGCCAAGATCATGCCACTGCACTCAAGCCTGGATGACAGAGCAAGACTGTCTCAAAACAAACAAACAAAGTTCCCACTTCCCCCTCTAAGACCCTCCAGGAAGCCTCCCCTCGCCCCAGAGACTTCACTCAGCAGCACCACACTGCGAGACAAGCTGTCTCTTCCAATGGCCTCCTGGGACCGCAGCCCATCCATCTTGTATTCATGCATGAGGAACACACACACTCTCTCTCACATCAACACCAACATACACGTCTTTCTCAGGGTCAGATCCTATCCCCTGGGTGGCCCCTTGAGCCCTTTCTCCTGAAGACCCTCGATAAGGACCTGATGGGAACATTCCTTGCTTCAGAGACCCCTAGGAAGAGGTCAGCCACCTGGACTCACAGCCCAGCTTCGAAGGACCCTGCAGCAGTTAACATGCTTCTCCAAACTTCAGTCCCTACCTCGAAGAAATGGAGATATAATAACGGTCTGTCTTACTATGATTAATTATGCAAAATATAGGAGTGATGCCCTAATTCACCTCCCAATGGAGCTGCAACTGTGGCCAGGTCCGGTTTTACATATGCTGGAAATACAGAGGTGACCAAAATGATTCCTCAGCTTATACACACACCAGCCATGATTTTTTTTTTTTTGAGACAGGATCTTGCTCTGTCGCCCAGGCTGGTGTGCAATGGTGCAATCATAGCAAACTAGAGTCTCAGACTCCTAGGCTCAAGCGATCCTCCTGTCTCAGCCTCCCAAGTAGCTGGGACTACAGGTACGCACCACCATGCCAGGCTGTTTTCCTTTTTTTTTTTTTGAAATGGAGTCTTGCTCTTTCACCTAGGCTGGAGTGCAGTGGCACAATCTCAGCTCACCACAACCACTGCCTTTAGGGTTCAAACGATTCTTCTGTCTCAGCCTCCCAAGTGTGCCCCACCGTACCTGGCTAATTTTTGTATTTTTAGTTGAGACAGGGTTTCACTATATTGGCCAGGCTGGTCTTGAACTCCTCACCTTGTGATCTGCCCGCCTTGGCCTCCCAAAATGCTGGGATTACAGGCGTGAGCCACCACACCTGGCCCCTTTTACTTTTTTGGCAAAGATGGGGATCTTGCTATTTGGCCCAGGCTGGTCTGGAACTCCTGGCCTCAATCAGTCCTCCCACCTTGGTCTCCTGAGTGCTGGATTACAGGTGTGAGCCACGGCTCCTGGCCCAGTGTGTAAAGATTCTTGGCCAGGTGTTGTGGCTCACACCTGTAATTCCCAATACTTTGGGAGGGCGAGGCAAGTGGATCACCTGAAGTCAGGAGTTTGAGACCAGCCTGAACAAGATGGACAAACTCCATCTCTACTAAAAATACAAAATTAGTCAGGGTAGTGGTGCATGCCAGTAATCCCAGCTACTCCGGAGGATGAGGCAGGAGAATCGCTTGAACCCAGGAGGCAGAGCTTGCAGTGAGCTGAGATCGCGACATTGCACTCCAGCCTGGGCAACAAGAGCAAAACTCCTCTCCCCATCCTCAAAAAAAAGATTTTTTTTTTTTTTTTTTTTTCTGAGACAGAGTTTCTCTCTTGTTACCCAGGCTGGAAGTGGAATGGCGCGATCTCGGCTCACCGCAACCTCCGCCTCCTGGGTTCAGGCAATTCTCCTGCCTCCTGAGTGGCTGGGATTACAGGCACGCGCCACCATGCCCAGCTAATTTTTTGCACCTTTAGTAGAGACAGGGTTTCACCATGTTGACCAGGATGGTCTCGATCTCTTGACTTCGTGATCCACCCACCTCGGCCTCCCCAAAGTGCTGGGATTACAGGCTTGAGCCACCGCGCCCGGCCCGAAAGAAAAGATTCTTGTTTTTGTTTTTGTTTTTTTTGAGACGGAGTTTTGCTCTTGTTACCCAGGCTGGAGTGCAAAGGTGCGATCTCGGCTCACCGCAACCTCCGCCTCCTGGGTTCAGGCAATTCTCCTGCCTCAGCCTCCTGAGTAGCTGGGATTACAGGCACGTGCCACCATGCCCAGCTAATTTTTTGTATTTTCAGTAGAGACGGGGTTTCACCATGTTGACCAGGATGGTCTCGATCTCTCGACTTTGTGATCCACCCGCCTCGGCCTCCCAAAGTGCTGGGATTACAGGCTTGAGCCACCGCGCCCGGCCTGAGAAAAAAAAGATTCTTAATCAGTGGAGACTTCCAGCCCCATCTGGGACCTGATGAGTCCCAACCTGGGGCTGAGAATTAAAAGCATGATGTCCATGAAATGCTCAGGGTGGAAGGGATAAGACTCTGGGATCTCCGCTATAAGAGAACGCGAGGGCTTGTGGGTCCCTGTCATTCCCTGCAACGCTACCCTCAGTAGCTCCTGATCCACCTCACCTAGGACCTCTCTGGCGGTCCCAGTAAAAGCTTCAGATGTCCCTAACCCCCCAGCACCCCTTGACCACAGAAAGAACTCATCCCACCCCAAAACATTCTCAAACTTCTGTACCACCCTCAGATGCCCAAATCATGACTCATGACCCCCTCTAATAATCTTGTTAACCGCTAGAAAGTCTCGGGGTCCCCTGGCTCCTTGGACGCTGATAATGGCCCTGTCTCACTCAACAATTTGAGTCTGGCGATCGCTTGGGACCTCCTTAGACGACCCCAGGGAATAGTTTGTCACATGTCACGACCCCCAATGCCAACCCTGCTGGACCACCTGCCAACATCCATTTCACACAAGATACCCCCCCACGGCCGCCCAAGACACCCCGATAACGACCACATGCGTACCCGCGAGACTCCCAGCTCCGTCCGATCCACTCAGACAGCCCCCAGTGACCCCAAGACCTCACAGCGCCCCCGGCCCTCCACTCTCGGGGCCCGACCGGCACCCACCGACTACGGTGCCAGTAGCGGTGGTGCTGGCGGCTTTGCGGTGGCAATCGGTGCCATCGGGGATGTCCAAGTACTGAGTCATAATCCTCGGCGCCATAGCTCGCAGCTCCTATTCCGCACCGGGGACTCAGTCGACTTTGCAAATGTTAAGGGCAGACACCGCTGGCGATCGCGAGACTTCCTGGGCTGCGCGCGCAACCTCACGGCGGAGAAGGCAGGCAACAAGTGCGCAACTTTATTGACAGCCGCGGACATGAACAAGGATCGCGCGCACGCGCCGGGAACAGGTCTAGTGGAAGAGAGCCGCACGTGCACCCCCAAGCCGATTCCCAGAGGGGGAAACTGAGGACCACTGTGATCAGTACAGACAGATTTCCCTAGTCCCAGCTCAGTGAATCCTAGGTTAGGGAGGTTTTGAATACCAGAGAGGGGAACTAATCTAGAGAAAGGTCCAGGCTCAGACTGGAACGGGCGGGATTCCACTTGACGGGAGCGAGACGTCATTGTGAGGCGCGGCATGGCAGGGATGTGCCCACACCCGTGTCAGAATCAGTATGGGGGGTGGTCATGCCCTGTGGTCAATCACCAAGCTGGAGTCGGAGCCGCGTGCTACTGTTATGGGGCATGGACAGGGGACGGGGATTGGCGGGAAAGTGACCAATGACAATACTAGAAGCTCAGCGGGACGTTGCCTCTGTTCAACCAGCGGCTGCCCACGCCCTAGGCCGGATGAAGCACACAGGCGCTTGGCTTGGGGGCGTGACTAGAATTGGAGGCATAACCCGAAAGGGACTTGACCAATCCGAGACTGTATAAGGAATGAAAGGGCGTAACCGTGCCTGGATCTGCCCCTGACAGGCAGCAGGATCGGGGGCGTGGTCAGGCTTGTTGTTTCGAGGAGTCCGGGCCAATCCTGGTGTTAGCTTCCAAGTCGGGCGGGGACAGTATCAAGGTGTGACCAATCACGTTTTTAGAGCCTGAGTTGGGCGAACCGCCGGAGAATCTGGCCAATCTGGGGGCGTGGCTGTCAAGATCTGGTCCAATCCTAGAGTGAACCCGAGCTCAGCGACGGAGTTTCACGATGCCGGCATCAGTGGTAGTCTTTGGGTTTGTGGAGAGCACGACCCAGCCCCATGGGGCGGAGTCTAGCGGGGTCAGCGACCAATCGCGCCGAGGTCCAGAGAGGCAGGGTCCTCCCAGAGGCGGGGCCTGTGTCGGTTCCGGGCCGCCCGGGTGTGTGCCCAGGCCTGCACAGCTGCCTGGGCCATGTCGGCGCCGCCCGCCCTGCAGATTCGGGAGGCGAACGCGCACCTGGCAGCCGTGCACCGGCGCGCCGCGGAGCTGGAGGCGCGGCTGGACGCGGCGGAGCGCACGGTGCACGCCCAGGCCGAGCGCCTCGCTCTCCACGACCAGCACCTGCGCGCCGCCCTGGACGAGCTGGGCCGCGCCAAAGACCGGTGAGGTCCGGGGTCGGCCAGGTGCACTTCACCGAGGCTGGAAAGCGAGGAAGGGCAGGGGAACAGTGTGGAAGCGGGACTGCTTATGGGATTGATAAACACACCAAAAAAATCGAATTAGTAATCAGTATGTAAAGTTGAGAGACGTGGCACAGGTGTGGACCTTTAACTTCAAACAGGGCCCACTTTCCCACAGGTGCTGAGCGACGCAGTGACCACAGACCGCCCTGTATAGGCACTGGGAGCCATAGCAGGCTCGTCAGCAGGGGAGAAGGGAATCATTTTAGCATTTTAACTTTTTAATTTATTACTATTATTTGAGAGGGAGTTTCGCTTTTGTCGCCCAGGCTTGAATGATATTAGCATTTTAACTTTTTAATTTATTACTATTATTTGAGAGGGAGTTTCGCTTTTGTCACCCAGGCTTGAGTGCAATGGTGCAATCTCGGCTCACTGCAACCTCCTCCTTCCGGGTCCAAGCAGTTCTCCTGCCTCAGCCTCCTGAGTAGCTGAGATTACAGGCGTCTGCCCCCTCGCCCGGCTAATTTTTTGTATTTTTACTAGAGGCGGATTTTGACCATGTTGGCCAGGCTGGTCTCGAACTCCTGACCTCAGGTGATCCGGCCACCTCGGCCTCCTAAAGTGCTGGGATTACAGGCGTAAGCCACCGGACCCGGCCTAAATTTATTATTTTTGTGGCAAGGCCTCACTCCGACCTCCATGCTGGAGTGTAGTGGGACGATCTCGGCTCACTGTAGCCTCGACCTCTAGAGCTCAGGCGATTCTCCCACCTGTTTTCCGAGTAGCTGGGACTATAGGTGTGCACTACCACACCTGGCTAATTTTTGTATTTTTTTGTAGAGACAGTTTTGTCATGTTGCCCAAGCTGGTCCTGAACTCCTGTGGTCAAGCAGTCCTCCCACCTCACCCTTCCAAAGTGCTGGGATTACAGGCATGCACCACCACACCTGGCAGATTAAAAAAAAAAAAAAAAATCCTTTAGAGATGGGGTTAGACTGTATGCCTAGGCTGGCCTCCAACCCGGGGCTGCTCAAGTGATCCTCCAGCCTCAGCCTCCCAAAGTACTGGGATTACAGGCATGAACCACCATGCCAGCCTATATCAGCATTTTTGAAAAGTCCCTCTGGCAGCTGAGGATGAAAGAGATGAGACAGCCACCCAGGAAGGAGGGAGGAGCTGGGGTCCAGGTGGGAACTATTAATTCAGAGCAAATTGTACATATTCATTCATCTTCACTGAGCACCTACTGTGCATCAGGCAGTATGCTGGGTACTGGACCACATCGGTAAGACCTACTCAGCCTTGCCCATTGGGTGTCCACAGTCCAGTGGAGAGAAAGACGTATCACTGAGCAGTTACATCATTGGTGTTCAACGGCTGCGATGGAGGGGCATATGGGGCTCTGAGGGGTCCCAGAGCAAAGGCTTCCTGGTGGAAGAGCCTGCTAACAGATGGGAAAAGATACTGGAAAAAAACGAACTTGGGAAGAGTGAGGGGACAAAATGAGAGGTCTCATAAGAAAACGGCATAAACTGGCTGGGTGTGGTGGCTCACGCCTGTAACTCCAGCACTTTGGGAGGCCGAGGCAGGCAGATCACCTGAGGTTAGGAGTTCGAAATCAGCCTGGCCAATATGGCAAAACCCCATCTCTACTAAAAATATAAAAAATGAGCTGGGTGTGGAGGCACACACCTGTAGTCCCAGCTACTCAGGAGGCTGAGGCAGGATGATCGCTTGAACCAGGAGGCAGAGGTGCGGTGAGCCGAAATGGTGCCTCTATACTCCTGCCTGGGTGACAGAGCGGACTGTCTCATATGAACAAATGCCATAAACTAAGTGGCTTAAACCAGAGGTTTATTTTTCAGCATTCTGGAGGCTGGTGTCTGAGAGCAAGGTGCCAGCACAGTCAGGCTACGGGAAAGGCCCTGTTCCTGGCTTGCAGGTTTCTGGCGGGCAGAGCGCGCCAGGGAGTTCTTTTGTATTTCTTGATATAATCGCACTAAGCACTACTCCCGTTGTAGAGACCCCACCCTGACAACCTCATCCAACCCTAATCACCTCCCAAAGGCTTCAGTCTCCAGATACCCTCCTATGATTAGGCTGTGTGTCCCCACCCAAATTTCATCTTGAACTGTAGTCCCATAATCCCCACGTGTGGTGGGAGGGACTGGTGAGATGGTTTCTCCTTCATGCTGTGACAGCGAGTTCTCACGAGATCTGATGGCCCAGTGCAGTGGCTCTTACCTGTAATCCCAGCACTTTGGGAGGCTGAGGTGGGCAGATCACTTAAGGTCAGGGGTTTGAGACCAGCCTGGCCAACACGGTGAAACCCTGTCTCTAATAAAAATACAACAACAAAGAAATTAGCTGGACACGGTGGCACACACCAGCAGTCCCAGCTACTTGGGACGCTGAGGCAGGAGGCCACAGTTGCAGTGAGCCGAGATCACACCACTGCACTCCAGCCTGGATGACAGAGCTAGATTCCATCTCAAGAAAAAATGAACAAATGGGGAAGGCAGGCAGCAAACCACACTGCCATGTGTGTACCTATGCAACAATCTTGCATGTTCTTCACATGTACCCCCAAACCTAAAATGCAATAAAAAAAAAAATCCATCTAACAAAAAAAAAAGAAAAAATGAACAAATAAATGAAAAAGGGAGATTTGATGGTTTAATAATAGGCCCCCCCTTCACTGGTCTCTCAGTCTCTCCTGCTGCCCTGTAAAGAGGTGCCTTCCATCATGATTGTAAATTTCCCGGGTCCCCCCCGCCAGCCAAGCTATGTGGAAATGTGAGTCAATTATATCTTTTTCCTTTATAAATTACCCAGTCTCAGGTATGTCCTTAGAACATCATGAGAACAGACTAATACATCTCCCACTGGGGTTACGGCTTCATCATATGAATTTTAGAGAGACAGAAACACTCTATTTAGCTTGGGCACAGTGGCTCACACCTGTAATCCCAGCACTTTGGGAGGCCAAGTTTGGTGGATCACTTGAGGTCAGGAGTTCAAGACCAGCCTGGCCAACAAGGTGGAACCCCATTTCTACTAAAAACACTAACATTAGCTGGGCCTGGTGGTGGCATGTGCCTGTAAAGCCAGCTACTCGGGAGGCTGAAGCAGGACAGCTGTTTGAACCTGGGACATGGAGGCTGCAGTGAGCCAAGATCATGCCATTGCACTCTGGCCTGGGCAACACAATGAGACTCCTTCTCAAAAATAATAGGCCGTAATAATAATTATAGGTGGTAGCTAACACCCGTAATCCCAGCACTTTAGGAGACCGAGGTGAATGGATTATGAGGTCAGGAGTTTGAGACCAGCCTGGCCAACATGGTGAAACCCCATCTCCTACTAAAGAAACAAAACATCAGCCAGATGTGGTGGCGCCTGCCTGTAATCCCAACTACTCGGCAGGCTGAGGCGGGAGAATCGCTTGAAGCTGGGAGGCAGAGGCAGCAGTGAGCTGAGATCAGCCATTGCACTCCAGCCTGGGTGTGGTGGTGGGGGTCTGTGATCCCAACTATTCGGGCAAGACTGTCTCAAAAAAAAAAAAAGTAAAAACCACAACAAAAAAAAAACAAACATTCCATTCATGACCAGGAAGGGCCCTGAGGCAGAGGTGAGGAATGCGGGCTTTATCCCAAAGGTGATGGGGAGCCTTTTGGGTTTCTGCAGCAGGGAGGAGCAGGCCCTGTGGTCCTGGGTTCTGTAATCACCTCCTTTTGCCTTCCTGCCAGCGAGATTGCCACACTTCAGGAGCAGCTGATGACATCGGAGGCCACTGTCCACAGCCTGCAGGCCGCCGTGCACCAGAGGGATGAACTCATTAGGCAGTTGCAGCGCCGGGCTGAGCTGCTGCAGGACATCTGTCGCCGCCGGCCACCCCTGGCTGGGCTGCTGGCTGCCCTGGCTGAGGCTGAACGTCTGGGGCCCCTCCCGGCCACTAACCCCAGCCCCCCACCCCCCGGTGGGCCTGGTCCACCCCTTGCCAACAGCACTGGGGAAGAAGCAAACGGGGACCACCTCCAGTCTGCGGTGTTTGGGACCACAGTGTGAGCCGGGTTGCAGATTCCGGAATGGAGACAGAGGGCACCGCTGTCAGTGTCCTTCCGAGTCACCAGTGTCCTGAAGGTGGACCCTGTGGCAGAGCCACAGTCCTGCCTAAGCATCAGAACAGGCGAAACAGTCAATGGTTTCAAATAGGCCCACAGGCCAGATGCAGATGTGTAACCCAGACAGAAGTGTTCTTGTTCATGTGTTTATTTTTAAACTTTGAATCAGTCACCCTGGCTAAAAATCTGGCAGTGCATACACAAAGATCTGGATTTCTGGCAAGACTTGGCCATGCTTGCCTGGAGTCCAGGTCACCCTCTTTAGCCAGGGTGTGAGTTTCTGTCTTTTTTTTTTCTTCTTTTTTTTGAGACAGTCTCATTCTGTTGCCCTAGCTGGAGTGTAGTGGTGTGGTCTTGGCTCACTGCAACCTCCACCTCCTGAATTCCAAGCGGTTCTCCTGCCTTAGCCTCCCGAGTAGTTAGGATTACAGACCCCCACCACCACACCCAGCTAATTTTTGTATTTCCAGTTGAGATGGGGTTTCACCATGTTGGCCAGGCTGGTGTCCAACTCCTGGTTTCAAGTGATCTGCCCACCTTGGCCTCCCAAAGTGCTGGGATTAAAGGTGTGAGCCACTGTGCCACACCCAGCTTCATTTTATTTTCTTTACTCAACTTCTTACCATCAGAGTGTAAGCTCTATGAGGGCAGGAATTTTTGTCTTGTTCTCTCTGTCACCAGTGCCTGACACATCCCAGGAGCCCCAGGAGAAACAGGACGGATCTGTGGGCTCCTGAAGGGAGTCAGGGGACCCCTAGCACATCTGCTGAGGTGATGAGGCCCCCTCCAGCCAGCCTAGCTTTTTTTTTCTTTTTTGAGACAGAGTCTTGCTCTGTCATCCAGGCTGGAGTGCAGTGGGATGATCTCGGCTCACTGCAATCTCCGCCTCCCAGGTTCAAACGATTCTCCTGCCTCAGCCTCCAGGGTAGCTGGGATTACAGGCGCCCACCACCACACCTGGCACATTTTTTTTTTTTTTTTTGAGACGGAGTTTCGATCTTGTTACCCAGGCTGGAGTGCACTGGTGTGATCTTGGCTCACCACAACTTCCGCCTCCTGGGTTCAGGCAATTCTCCTGCCTCAGCCTCCTGAGTAGCTGGAATTACAGGCACGCGCCACCATGCCCAGCTAATTTTTTGTATTTTTAGTAGAGACGGGGTTTCACCATGTTGACCAGGATGGTCTCGATCTCTTGACCTCGTGATCTGCCTGCCTCAGCCTCCCAAAGTGCTGGGATTACAGGAGTGAGCCACCGCGCCCGGCAAATTTTTTATTTTTTAGTAGAGACAGGGTTTCATCATGTTGACCAGGCTGGTCTTGAATTCCTGCCCTCAGTTGATCTGCCTGCCTCAGCCTCCCAAAGTGCTGGGATTATCGGCGTGAGCCACTGTGCCTGGCCCTAGCCTAGCTTTTGTAGCAAGCAACTGTCTTTATACGCCCTAAAGAATCTATTTTTGAACTCCTTGTTTTTCTGCTGTCCTTCTTAGCCAGAGACATTCAGGGTGCTTTGCTTTTTATCAAACCAGGGAAAGGAGAAAACTCCTGTGCCTTTCTATGCCAGCCTGTCACCCTAGCCTGGTGAGCAGCCATTCCCCTGCCTCTTAACTCAGGGAACTGTTATACCAGGAACCACTGAGAGGCACAGCCTGTTTCAGCCCAGAAAGGTTGGAGGCTACCCACAGCCCTCAGGATGGCGCCTGCCTGCCTGCCTGGCAACAGCGACCCCTCAGCGCAGCAACAATGGCCCCATTTTCTCCTCTGGATGAATAAGGAAGGGAGTTGTTTGTACAAAGCAAAGGCAGGCTGTGGCCTGTCTGTGCTCAAGAATAAACCGGATGATTTCTTGGCCTGGGTCCTTCCTTCATCCTTTCATCCTGGCCTGGGGGCAAGAGGGGGCCCTCTGTGTTGTCTGTGCCTCATCCTGGGGTCCTGCTGGGCCAGGCAGAATGTAGGGAGCCTGTGCCAAGCACTCTACACCTGACTGCATCTAATCTTCAAGGTTCCCTGTAGACACAGGCTTTGTCCTCACTTTACAGCTGTGGAAAGTGAGGCCCAGGCCAGGCGTGGTGGCTCATGCCTGTCATCCCAGCACTTTGGTCACGAGACCAGCCTGGCCAACATGGTGAAACCGCATCTCTACTAAAAATACAAAAATTAGCCAGGTGTGGTGGTGTGCACCTATAATCCCAGCTTCTCGGGAGGCTGAGGCAGGAGAATTGCTTGAAACCGGGAGGCAGAGGTTGCAGTGAGTGGAGATCGCACCACTGCACTCCAGCCTGGGCGACAGAGTGAGATGCGGTCTCAAAAAAAAAAAAAAAAGAGGCCCAGATGTGTGAACGGAGAGACTAGGGATCTGGAGGGCCAGGGCCATTTCCAATTTCTGTGGAAGTTATTGCTGAAATTCTCTTTTCTTTTTTTATTTTCAGACAGAGTTTTGCTCTTGTCTGAAAAAAAAGAAAAGGCTAGAGTACAATGGTGCGATCTTGGCTCACCGCAACCTCAGCCTCCTGGGTTCAAGTGATTCTCCTGCCTCAGCCTCCCAAGTAGCTGGGATGATAGGCATGTGCCGCCACGCCTGGCTAATTCTGTATTTTTAGTAGAGACAGGGTTTCTCCATGTTGGTCAGGCTGGTCTCAAACTCCCAAACTCAGGTGATCCACCCACCTCAGCCTCCCATAGTGCTGGGATTACAGGTGTGAGCCACCACGCCTGGTTTTCTTTTAAGAGACAAAGTCTTAGCCAGGTGCGGTGGCTCAAGCCTGTAATCCCAGCACTTTGGGAGGGCGAGGCGGGTGGATCACGAGGTCAAAAGATCGAGACCATCCTGGTCAACATGGTGGAACCCCGTCTCTACTAAAAATACAAAAAATTAGCTGGGCATGGTAGCACGTGCCTGTAATCCCAGCTACTCAGGAGGCTGAGGCAGGAGAATTGCTTGAACCCAGGAGGCAGAGGTTGCGGTGAGCCGAGATTGCGCCATTGCACTCCAGCCTGGGTAACAAGAGCGAAAGTACGTCTCAAAAAAAAAAAAAAAGAGACAAAGTCTTACACTTGCCCAGGCTGGAGTGCAGTGGTGTGATCACATCTCACTGCAGCCTCAAAATCCTGGGCTTGGCCAGGTGCAGTGGCTCATGCCTGTAATCTCAGCACTTTGGGGAGGGCGAGGCAGGCAAATCACCTGAGCTCAGGAGTTTCAGACCAGCCTGGCCAACATGGCGAAACCCCATCTCTACTAAAAATACAAAAATCAGCTGGGCATGGTGGCACAAGCCTGTAGTCCCAGCTACTTGGGAGTTTGGGGCAAGAGAATCTCTTGAACCCGGGAGGTGGAGGTTGTAGTGAGATGAGATTGCACCACTACACTCCAGCCTGGGTGATAGAGCGAGACTCCATCTCAAAAAGAAAGAAAGAAAAGAAAAATTACTGGGCTCAAGCTATCCTGCCACTTCAGTCTCCCAAGTAGCTAGGACCACGGGAATTCATCACCATGCGAGGCTGAGTTTTTGCATTTTTTCTAAAGTCTCATTACGTTGCCCAGGCTGGTCTGGAACTCCTGTCCTCAAGTGATCCTCCCGCATTAGCCTCCCAAGAAATTCTTACTGAACATTTAAAAATGAGATGCCAAAACAGCACTGCAATAATCGTGGTTATATTAGTTCTGTACATAGAAAAAAAAACTGCTGCTTGTAACACTCAGACACGAAAGTATTTCTCTATTTAAATAATTTTGGATTGCAGTGAGCCATCAGGATTTTGGCAGCTAGATGTCACTGTGGTTTCTCATAAAACTGATGTGACATTAGTGGTGGCTTGAGTCAAGATGCTGGGTTGCCTGTAACCTATAGATTGGTTTCAGACTCCAAAGGCAACTGCTTTTCTTTTCTTTTTTTTTTCTGAGACAGAGTCACTTTGCCATCCAGGCTGGAGTACAGTGGTGTGATCTTGGCTTACTGCAACCTCTACCTCCAGGGTTCAAGTGCTTCTCCTGCCTCAGCCTCCCCAGTAGCTGGGATTACAGGCATGCATCATCATGCCCAGCTATTTTTTTAATTTTTAGTACAGGTAGGGTTTCACCATGTTGGCCAAGCTGTTCTCAAACTCCTGACCTCGGGTGATCTGCCCACCTCGGCCTCCCAAAGTGCTGGGATGACACGTGTGGGCCACTATGCCCGGCCTCTTTTTTAGTTTATTATTTTTTTAAGAGGCAAGGTCTTGCTCTGTAACCCAGGCTGGAGTGCAGTGGTGCGATCATAGCTCGCTGCAGCCTCCAACTGCCGGCTCAAGTGATCCTCCTGCCTCAGCCTCCCAAGTATGTGGGAACTACAGGAACTCACCACCATGCCAATTTTTTGTAGTTTTTGTAGGGATGGGGGTCTCACTATGTTGCACAGGCTGGTCTCAAACTCCTGGGCTCCAGTGATCTTTCCGCCCTGGCCTCCAAAAGTGTTGGGATTACAGGCATGAGCCACCGCGCTCAGCCAAGGCAACTTCTGATAATACAGTTGTGCTGTGACGAGGTAAGGCCAGGCCTGGAGAAGCCTCCAATGATCCGGGGGTCTGGACCCATAGTAGGTCCCCGGACAGGGCCCACCTTGCAAGTCCTGGGGAGCCCACCCATGTTAGTGGGCAGGTATATCCGATGTCTCCGTTGAAGGCCTTCAGTGTGGTGGCCTCGTCCCTTGAGGTTTATGTCCGGGATCAGGGCTGTTCCTCCACTTGGGGCCACAACCTCTGGCTCACTGCCTTGTCAGGAGCAAGCCTACCAAGTCACGTTTCAGGCCTGAAAACCAACAACAAAAAATTAGTCAAAGTCCTGGGTCACCAGTGACAAGCTACTTGGCAGTGTGCGCTGAGGTGTTCCTCAGGCTCAGCTCAGTCCCTGTGGTTTGCAGGACCTGGCCTGGGTGGGAGGTCTTGGGGCCCTAGGACCTGGGCCACCTGGGGCTCTTTTGTTGTATAATACAAACAGCGTCTCTGTATGTTCCCCAGGCTGGTCCAAAATCCTGGGCTCAAGTGATCCTCCCCCTAGTCCCCCACAAAGTGCTGGGATTTCAGGCATAGGCCTCTGCGGCTGGTCGGAAGCTGGGGGCCTTATGAACTTTGATTCCTTGGCAATTTTATCAGCCCTGGCTCAGGCTGAGAAGCCCAGAGAGGGAAAGGGACCTGCCCAGAGTCACACAGGAATCTGGCCTCAAGCCTCCCCAACACTGACTTATCTCCACCCAGGGCATTTCAGTCCCTGCAGGCCAGGGGCCTGCCCCTCCTCCTCATGGCCAGTAAGGGATGCAGAGCCACAGGGATCTGGCTCTGTCCCAGGCCCTGTGGGGCTGGCAGTGAGTAAGTACTACTCAGGCTGCCCCGCCCCAGCACAGTGCATTCACGCAGCTGGGCCCCGCCTCGTCTCCAGAGGCACCTTCCATTAGCAACAGTCTCCCTGGGCACAACACAGCTAACACAAGTCCTGGCAGGCAGGACTCTGGGACAGAAGCAGGCCCGGTGAGCATCTGAACAAGGGGCAGTCGGCAAGGGTGGGCTTGCGGGAGCCCCCACCTTGACCTCTTTCCCTTCCAGCTGTCCAGAGAGCCCAGACCCAGCATGGACGCTGTGGACGCCACCATGGAGAAACTCCGGGCACAGTGCCTGTCCCGCGGAACCTCGGGCATCCAGGGCCTGGCCAGGTGAGCTGCACCCTCACCTTCCTGACCCCAGTCCCTAAGACCACTATTCCAACCCTGTCCCCTCCCCGCCAGGTTTTTCCGCCGACTAGACCGGGATGGGAGCAGATCCCTGGACGCTGATGAGTTCCGGCAGGGCCTGGCCAAACTGGGGCTGGTGCTGGACCAGTCGGAGGCAGAGGGCGTGTGCAGGAGGTGGGACCGTGACGGCAGCGGGACACTGGATCTGGAAGAGTTCCTTCGGGCGCTGCGGGTAAGGCCTCACCCCGAAGCCAAGGCGTGTGCCCTGGGCGTGGGATGACAGAGGATGCCGAGATGTGGAGACAGGGGCCTCCTCCCTAACAGCTGCTGTTAAGAGGCACCTGCCAGGGGTCACATTCCCAGTGCTCTGCACAGGGTCCTGGGGCTTTTGAGTCCGCTACCCACCACCCCCAGTCACCACCTCCTGTCCCAGCCCGCCATGTCCCAGGCCCGGGAGGCAGTCATCGCAGCTGCGTTTGCCAAGCTGGACCACAGTGGGGACGGTGTGGTGACGGTGGACGACCTCCGAGGGGTGTACAGTGGCCGCGCACACCCAAAGGTGCGCAGTGGGGAGTGGACGGAGGACGAGGTGCTGCGCCGCTTCCTGGACAACTTCGACTCCTCCGAGAAGGACGGGCAGGTGGGTGGCTGCACAGGGGGATCCCTTCAGAGGCAGCCCCTGGCCGTGCCCCCTCACAGCCCTCTGTTCCCAGGTCACGCTGGCGGAATTCCAGGACTATTACAGCGGCGTGAGCGCCTCCATGAACACGGATGAGGAGTTTGTGGCCATGATGACCAGTGCCTGGCAGCTGTGAGCCGCTCAGGCTCGGCCCTGCTGGCCTGGCCTGTCACTCCCCGCCCCTACCCCAGGACTCCCCCTTTCCTGGGCCCCTACTCTCCTGATTAGCCACACCACAGGGCGGGGAGGGGCAGGTGGGGGAATGGAGGCCGCAGGACTGGCTAGACCAGGTCCCTGCTGGGTTGCCAGGCAGAGGTAGGACAAAGGTCTTAACAGGGGTCACTGGTACAGGGCCCCAGGGAGAAACACTCTCCCCACTCATGCCGACTGGAGGCCTTGGAGCCCCTGGGGATGCCCCTGCCGAGGCCTCCTGATTGCCCCCACCCAGCCTGCTGCTCCTTGCCCCTCCCCTGGAGGTCCCCCAGGAAGCTAGGCAACCCGGGTGGGAGGCTGTGTGAGGAGGCCAAGCTGGAAGGCAGTTTGGACCTGCTCAGGTGTGCAGCGAGGGGCAAGAGGCATCCTAACCTCAGAAACCAAAACAAAGCCTTTGGAAAAAAAAAATCTATAAATCATCAGCCCCAAATCAGAAGATGGCAAACAGGGAATAAAGAAAGTAGCAAGACCATACCAGTGTGCCCAGTGTCTACCTGGAGCAGCCTGAGGCTGGGAGCCCTGGAAGGGGGACAGAAGTCTGGCCACTCCCCACAGGGGCGGGGCCTGGCGGCAGGGGTCGGGGGCCAAGTGTGGGTACTGGTGGAAGGCCAGGGCTGTTGCTGGACCCCGGCGCTGGTGACACTCGGGGTGGCAGCATGAGACACCAGGCCACTGGAGGTTCTCACCAAGGGAGGTGGAGGCTGTTCCTGGTAAGGGGCTTCCAGAGGCCCCTGGGGGAAGCAGAGGCCAGTGTTTTAGGTAAAAGTTTAATGTAGTTCCCAAATACATTTCATATGACAATCTTACAGAAATGTTCCAAAACACATGGGCGTTATCTGGTTGTACTCGTCACTAGCTGGCTAAGGCTTAAAGCAGAGACGTGTGACTGGGTCTCTCGGGAGGGCCTCTGGTTCTTCCCTGGCTCAGGCCTGCTGGGGGCTGGGGGCCAGGGCTCTGGCAACCTAGAGGAGTGGGCGGCACAGCTGCAGAAGGCGGCCTTCTCTTAATTTCCTCTGAGCTCCTGAGGAGGCCCTGTGCCCAGAGGACCTCCTCCTTAGCCTCCGCAGGTAGGTGGTGCCAGCTGGCTCTTGGCCACGCTCCAGGGTCAGGTGGGCACAGGCGTCCGTCCACTCCAGTGTGCTGCGTGCTTGTGAGACCGCCTGTTCTGGGACCAGCCCCCAAGCGCCTCCACCAAGACCTGGTGAGGGTCCCCCTCTGGCTCCCACAGAGGCCCCTGGCCCTGGACAGTCCTGGGGGCAGGGATGCCTGCGGCTGGAGAGCGATGGCTAACAGCGGGAAGCAGTTTGTGCCTGGTGCCTGATGACACCGAACCACGTGACAGACAGGGAGTGCGGGTGGGCAGGGGACCCTGGGAACCCTCCCAGGTCCAGTGACCTTTTCCCAGATAGGCACTCTCCAGGCCTAGGCCAGACAGGGCTCCAACTTCTCAGTACCCCCTGACTCAGCCTGGAGGAACCTGGGTGGGAAACAAGTGGGGTCCCTGCCCCCTACCTCAGAGGCCAGAACCACAGGAGGGACAGACGCCTCGACAGAGCTGTGCCTGCTCAACGCTCGAGAGCATCTTAACCTAAGAAACCAAAACAAAGCCTTTGAAAATAAAAAGAAAAAAAGATGTAAAATATACACCCCCCCAATCAGAAAGGGGGAAACGGGCAATGAAGATAGTAGTTAACAGCACATCCAACGGGCCCAGTGTCTACACTCGTGTGAGCAGCTCCCCAGGCTGGGCAGGGGTCCCAGGCCTGTAGCTGGAGACCCCCGGGCAGGGGCAGAAGGCCAAGGGCCAGCTGCTCCCCACAAGGGCGGGGCGCCGCAGCAGGGAGGGAAGGGTGTGGGCGGCGGCAAAGCCAGGGGCTCTGGCTGGACCCAGAGGCTGGCGACACGCAGGGTGAAGGAACGAGGTCTCCAGTCCCAGTGAGAAGCTGTGACAAGTCTTAATGTGCCATTTCAATTCAAAGGAGGGGAGGGAGGAAATGTTCTTGTTTGTTTCACTCATCAATATGATGAGGTCTCATGTCCCAAACCACATTCAGGCAGTTTCCGAGTCTGCTTTTGAACAGGACGCGCGGGTCCAGACTGGCCGGCCCAGCGGGGTGTGTGTTTCCCAGCCCCGCACCTGGACGCTGCCTGTGGGGTGGGGGTAGGCGGGCAGGCGGACAGACGGACAAAGCAGCAGCCTGGTGCGCAGCCGGGCTCCCGGCCGCTATGTGCTCCCAGTTGTCTGCCCGTCCCCTTCGTCACCAGCACCTGCAGGGAAGCAGCAGCCCCGAGTCAGGATGGAGCCCGCACTTCCCAGGTCTTGCCAGCCCCACCAGGAGCTCGGCACTGGGTCAAGGATGGCAGGCAGCTCCTTCTACCCCCTCAGGGCAGGGGCCGCCTGGCTCACCGGCTGCAGTGGCCCCTGAAGGAGCCAGGACATCGTCATCGTCGCTGTCGTCCTCCTCGTTGGATGGGGCTGCTCCAGGCTCCGGGGCCGGCATCTTGGCCTCCTGCTCCTGCTCCACGCGGCTGCGCAGGGCGAGGATGCGATGGTGCAGGGCTGCATACAGCTGACCTGTGTCCTTGGAGCTGGCCTGGGAAGGCAGGGGTCTATGAGACCCCCCAGACTATAGTCCTACCCTCTCCTGCCTTCTACGGAACGCAAGCGCCAAGCCCCAGGGCTCAGAGGTGACACCGCCACAAGGCCTTGTGGGGAGGCCACTGGCTCTCGGCCTGCCAGCCTCTCCCTGAAAAGACGCCATCACCCCCAGGTGGCTGGGAGGGCCCCAGAGGTCAGGGTTGGACTGGACTGTGATACCACAACATAAGAGAGACGTGACTGCCCCACGGGCTGTTAACCCTAAATGAGTCACAGCCCCTCAGCCAATCCCCAGCAGCTCCTCTGGGTCAGGAAGAAGACAGGATCACGACCTCTATTCCTGGAGGCTGGGACTGGGCGGATACCATTGTGCTCCTTGTGTCCCAGGCAGCAACTGTGGCCTGTCCCCATCCCTACCGTCCTGCCTAATTTGTGTGCCCAAGAGCCCCCGCATGGCTTGGCGGGAGGCAGGGTTCTGGATGCAGCCGTGTGGCCGGCTCACCGAGATCAGGAAGACCTTCACACCCTGGTCCTCGGTGTCCATGGCCGTGATGCGGATGCTCTTCTCGCTGGCCTTGTCGATCTGCATCTGGGCCCACAGCTTGGTGTTGAGGATGAGTCGCAGGCTCCCCTGGGTCCGCATCACTGCAACCAACAAGGCCACTCAGCCCTGGCCCCCGCCAGGGCCACCTCCCAAACAGCCAGCTCCAAGAGCCAGCGCAGAAGGAAAGCGACATCACCGGGCAAAAGCCCATGACCCTCCCAGGACCCGCCCATAGAGCAGGACCCTCCCTGAGGCCAGCCCCGGCACACTGCTCCCGGGTTGGGGCTCCTCCTTCTCAAACCTGGACCACTGAAGGCCACAGCTGCGGGTGGCCGTGCAGGCTGGTGCTGCCAATCGGGCCACAGGCTGCACGCAGCCTGTGCAAGGCTGTATTTGACCTATACAGGTGGGCACAGGATGGCAGTACCCTTGCAGAAGGAGTGATTACACAGGAGCACGGGGTGGGCTGTGGGAGGAAGGGGCTGCCACTCGAGGTGTGTGTGCTTCCTGTGTGTGACATCAGCCTCTGTGGAGCCCGTGCCCTCCCGAACGGCCTCCCTCGAGTGGACCAGCTCTACCCTCTGATTTCCTCAGGAGAGGCAGAGTAGGACTGCAGCTTAGCGTTTCCACGGAGAGGGGACAGGAAGACCCAGGGCAGCAGATTACAGAGAGAAATGGGACGGCCTTGCCTCTCTAGAAGATGTGACACCCACCCTGGCCTGGGCCCATCCTGTGGACTCAGCGAAGCCCCAACCTTCCTGCCGGCCACCTCTCCCCACTGGACCAGGCTTGGAGAGGGTCAGAAACTTGTCCCCCTGCCCTGGCCCAGCCAACAGATCTCCCTGAGCCCAGGTGCCCACCCCAGAGGCCTATCGGGAGAAAGATGGAGGTGATTTTGCTTTCCCTGAGGCCAGAGAGGGCACTGCTGCCACGGGGCTACAGGCTAATGACCCCAGCAGAGGGGATGACCTAGGGATTCAGGGCTCCATGCCCCCTCCTTTCACCCACATTTGAACATTTCCATGAGAAAAAAGGAAAAACTCAGTAAGACGTCCATGGGGAACAGAACAGTCCTGGCCCGCAAGGACAGCCCTGTCTGTACTGACCAGGGCAGTGTTTCTGAGTCAAGGTGCGTGACCACCACCCTTGAAGAGGGCCACCTGAGTGTCTGCTGGGCCTGAAACCCACATTTATGATAAAAGGATGGTTCTGGTGCAGTAGCTCACACCTATAATTTCAGGGCTTTGGGAGGCTGGGGTGGAAGGACTGTTTGAGGCCAGGAGCTCAAGACCAGCCTGGGCATAGGGAGACCCCAAGACAAAAATAAAAAAAATTAGCCAGACATGGTGGTGTACATCTGTAGTCCCAGCTATTCAAGAGGCTGAGGTGGGAAGATCACCTGAACCCAGGAAGTTGAGGCTATGATCACGCCACTGCACTCCAGCCTGGGTGATGGAGTGAAACTACCTTTAGAAGAAAAAAAAGACATGCCCACGTTTCAAACGTGCACACATACAGGCCAACTTCCCTAAGTGGCTGTGTATGCAGGTACTCCAAGCCACATGTCCACCAATAGGGAAAAGTCTATTGACTGTCAATGCAATATTAAAACAGAACTTTTTTATAAAACAATATTATTTTATTTTTATTTTTGATCTGTTGCCCAGGCTGGCATGCAGTGGCATGATCTCAGCTCACTGCAACCTCTGCCTCCCAGGTTCAAGCAATTCTCCTGCCTTAGCCTCCTGCGTAGCTGGGATTACAGACGTGTGTCACCATGCCCGGCTAATTTTTGTATTTTTAGTAGAGATGGGGGTTTCACAATGTCAGCCAGGCTGGTATTGAACTCTTCATGTCAGGTGATCCACCTGCCTCAGCCTCTAAAAGTGCTGGGATTACAGGTATGGGCCACTGCAATGGCCACAATTATTAGACTTGATGTTTTGAGTTCTTTTCCTTTCTATCATAAACCTGCCACTTTTACTGTCAGAAAATCAGTCTAAAATCTTCCATAGACTTTTGTCTTTTGACACTAATAGGGTCACGGATGAGCTGGCAGCTAGAGCCAGTGCGTGAGGCGGTGTTGAGGGCTGTGTGCAGGGAGTAGGTCTGAGGGGGCAGCTCTCATGGGGGAACTGACTTCGCCCCTCGACACTCACAAGGGCAGGGTCAGGACCTCCCCCTTTATTCCCTTTGGAACTGCAGAGTCCCCAACACTCCCCATGGGGACCCGGCCACAGCCTCTGCAGCTCACCTAGTCGGGACTGTAGCGTGCCGTCGTCGGTGGACGCCATGTCGTTGAGTCTGAGCAGCCCCCGGCCTCTCTCCA